TCGCCTGGTTTGACGCTCTCGGGCAGCCACTCCTTTAACGAAAAGCGCTTGCCTTTTTGCTTGAAGTGTCCGTCGCCGCGCGGCGACGGACCGTCCCGCGGCAGGGAAATACCGCCTCTCCTGCGCCTGTGACGAGGTGGACTGAGGCGACTCGTCGGGGACCAACCAGCGAGAGACTCCATGGCCGACGACGCGCCGCCGCCACCACCAGCGACCGTCCAGCGCGGCGGACGCGGCCGGGGCCGCGGCGGCAAGGGCGGCCGGGCCCGCGGCCGAGGCGGCAAGGGCCGCGGCCGCGGCAAGGGCCGGAGCGACGACGACGCGCCGTCCGACGGCGACGACGAGGTCAAGGAGGCGGAGCCCGGCGACCGCGGCCGAGGCGGCAAGGGCAAGGGCAAGGGCCGCGGCCGCGGCAAGGGCCGGAGCGACGACGACGCGCCGTCCGACGGCGACGACGAGGTCAAGGAGGCGGAGCCCGGCGACCGCGGCCGCGGCGGCAAGGGCAAGGGCCGCGCGAAGACCTTCGGCCGCGGCGCGGGCGCGCCGGCCGCGGCCGAGCCCGCGGCGCCCGCGGAGCTCCCCTACGGCGGCGACATCCAGGCGGCCATGCGCGCGCAGGACCGCGACGCCATCCGCGCGCTCATGGCCGCGCAGGCCGACCGGAAGCCCGAGGCGCCGAGGGCGTCGCCGAAGACGAAGAAGAAGCCGCCCAAGAAGAAGGCCGGCAAGAAGCGGCCCGACTTCTGGTGGAGGGAGTCCGTGGACGTCGACCCCATCTCGCTGGAGCCGCTGAGCGATCTGGAGTACGCGCCCTTCGAGCTGGGCCCCCACCTCTTCGACGGGCGCGTCCTCGCGTTCTACGTCGTGAGCACGGGCACGTTCCTGAACCCCATGTCTCGCGACGCGCTGAGCCTCGAGGACTGCGTCGCGCTCGACGACTACCTCAGGGCCCACGAGCTCGACGAGGCGCGCGTCGCCGACGCGTTCCGCCTGTCCCAGCTCCTGGCGAAGGACGGCGACGCGGGCACGGACAGCGCGCAGTCGTCGGCCGCGCGGAACCAGCGGCGCCAGGCGACGGCCGTGCTCCACAACCTCTTCGGCTTCGCGCGCTACGGCGACTCTTTGGCGGCGGGCCGCGGCGGCCGCGGCGCGCGCGACGGCGCGTCGCCGGGCGGGAACCTGCGGTCCGCGTTCGACGAGCGCGACAGCGACGACGAGCGCCGCGGGACCGCCGGCGGCCACCGGCTCGTCGACGACGGCGACGTCGGCGGCGACGCGACGGCGTCGGAGGACGAGGACGCGGGCCTCCAGGCCGAGGCCTTCCCGACGCTCGGCGGCGGCCCCGCGGCGCGCGCGATCGACCAGGGGTCGGGCTGGCAGGCCGCCGCGCGCGGCGGCGGCGGCGTGCTCAACGCGGGCGCGCTCCAGGCCGAGGACTTCCCGACGCTCGGCGGCGCGCCCGCGCGCCGCGCGCAACCCGCGGCCGCGCCGCGCTTCCGCGACGCCGTCCAGCCCTACCGCATCGACATGTCGTCCGGCGGCGGCGCGGCCGCCGCCCAGCGCGCGCGCGCCGTCGCCGCGGCGCCGCGCGCGGCGCCGCCGCCGCCGCCGGCGACCGCGCCGCCGAAGAAGGCCGACTTCCCGACGCTCCGCGCGGACCCCCCGAAGCCCGCGGCGGCCAAGCCCAAGCCCCGGCGCGCGCCGGCGGCCGGGGGCTGGTCCTCGGCGCTGTCCAAGGCCGCGGGCGGCGGCGCCAAGGCGCGGGCGAAGACGGGCCTCTCCATCGCCGCGCCGAGGCGCGCGCAGCCGTCGCCCGCGCTCGCGGCGCGCGACGCCGACTTCTCCGCGCCGCCGGCGGACCGAGGGGCCGCGCCCAAGCCCAAGGACAGCGGGCCGCCGGGCTTTAAGCGGAATTAGATTGGTTACTCGTCGTCGCGGCTCGTGCGCCAGTAGGCGAGGACGTGCCAGAAGACCTCGTTCGGGAGGGGGCGGCGGCGCGACGAGCGCGTGGACTTGGTCGTCGATGACGTCTCGGGCGCGCCGCCGAAGAGGCGCTCGAGGACGGGGTCGGCCGGAGGTCGCGCGCGGCCGCGGGCGCACAGCGTTCGGAGCCGCACGAGCTTGACGCGCGGCGCACGCACGTAGGCCGCGTACGAGCCCGCGCGCTTGACGGCAGCGAGGAAGTCCGCGAGTGCTGATCCGTCTTCGCGCATGAGAGTGTTGAAGCGAGCGTGATCTTCGGCGTCGAGACCTTCTTCATCCTTGTAAAAGACGTCAGCGCCGCGCCGTACGAGGAGACGCGCGAGCGGGGCTTGAGAAAACGCAACGTAATCGGCATATCGAGAGCATTTCATGAGTATGGACCTGTTGGTACCAAACTCCGTAATTGCGTTGACATCCGCTCCGTAGTCGATCATCGCGCTCATCTCGCCCACAAACGCGCCGGCGTTCGCCGACCAGAATATGGGCTTAGCAAAAGCAGCGTGTGTCGCGTTCATATCCGCGCCGCGCGAGCCAAGCAAACGGATCAATTCTGTTCGGTCGCCTCGTAATTGAATTGTGTGTCCGTTCGACCGCAGAGCAATTTGAAGGAGACTCAACTGATCGGACTCCATATTTGGATCCCTCGATTCGTCCGCTTTGAACCACACTCGCACCGAGTCACAGTCGCCCTCGCTTAAGGCTCGATAAAGATATTCAGGTATTTCGCCGCGCACCATCTCCAACACTCGAGCGCGCTCAACCCGATCGCCACAAAAATTGCCTCAGGCTCAGCCTCATCAAGGGAGGGAGCCTGGAGGGTCCAGGCTAGTAAACCACGCACTCGGCGGAACCACGCAAACGCCGTCAAAAAGAAGTTACTATGTACATTAAAACAATCCCCCTACATGGTCCGGCTCCGTCGTCGCGTGTTCTCCGCCGCGGCGTCGTCGTCGTCGGCGCCTCGCGCGGTCGCGGGCGTCGGCGCGGCGGCCTTGGGCGAGTTCGCGGACCAGGAGAGGAAGGAGCGCCGCCCGGCGACGGAGAGCTTGGAGACGAACTGCTGGTCCGTCGCGTGGCTCCAGCGCGGCGGGCTCCGGTGCGGCGCGGGGCCGCGGCTCTTGCCGTTCGGCGTCCGCGGCGGCGGCGGCGGCGCGGCGTCCTCGTTTCCGCCGATCCGCGGCAGGAGGAGGGACCGCTTGTGCCGGTGGGCGCCGTCGACGCCCGGCGCGACGGAGACGGGGCTCGGCGGCACGTCGTCCGCGACGCGCGCGGAGAGGTAGACGTTGTTGTTCGAGGGGTCCTTGAAGAAGCAGTCGTGGGGCCCGTCGTCGGAGATGGCGACGCCCCTGGAGCGCAGGCGCGATGTCGTCGACTCGTAGTCGTCGACGCTCACGCGGAGCGCGAAGTGGGGCCGCGGCACGCGGTAGTGCGCGTCGCTGTAGTCGACGCACCGGTAGTCGTCGCCGACGTCGAAGGCGAGCAGCCGCTGGCCGCAGAAGTCGTACTCGCGCGCGTTGGGGATGGCCGACGGCGCCGGCGCGGCGCCGACGACGTCGCCCCAGAACCGGTCCGCCGCCTGGAGGCAGTGCACGGGGATGGCGTTCGCCGCGCCGTCGGCGTGGTCGTACTCGATGGACCCGGCCCCCTCGGAGAGCCGGATGCTCCGGGGGCGCAGCCTCTCCCGGATTCGCGTCTTGATCGTCAGGAGGCGGTGCATGTCATCGCTCAGGCACGGGGGGCGGGTCCGTCCCCACGGGTTGAGCCCGACTCCGAGAGCACAGTTAGGAGACGCTTGCGTTTGGGCTCCGTCGCTCTGACCAATAACCCCTGAAAAGATATGTTTGCCTTCAAGTTGAACGGCAATGTTTTGCCCATGGCTGCAGCGGGTGCGTCGCTCTCCCATAACCCCTGAGACGAAGATACGTAGAGGTGGACTTTTACGTCGGCCTGAAGAGCCCCCCCTGGACGAGCCTCCGCCGCGGCGGCAGCGGCGGCTCCGCGGCGTCCACCGTCGTCGGCCGCGTGTAGGGCAGCGTCGATTTGAGGTGCTCGGAGACGTAGGTTTCCGCCGCGCGGACGTCCGCGCGGGGGTCCTCGAGGACCGCGTCGAGGGCCGACGACGCGCGCACGACGGCGCCCTCGCCCGCGGAGAAGGAGCAGTCGTACTCGGCCAGGGCCTTGGCCATGAAGTCCACGGCCCGCGCCTCGTCGAAGCCCGCGACGAGCTTGGCGAGATGGCGCCAGGCGACGGCCGTCTCGACGTGCGGGGCGCCGTCGTGCGTCGTCGCGCGCGCGTAGGCGCCCGCGAGCATGAGCGACTCCGCGTCCGGGTAGGCGCCGAGCGCCACGCAGCGCGCCGACAGCCGCTCGAGCGCGTTCGCGACGTCCGTGGTCGCCGCGCGGCCCGCGGCGCGCGCGGCCGCGGCCGCGCCCGCGGACGCGCAGAGGCCCAGGCGGTCGTTGGCCCGGGCGACGGCCGCCGCGAGGCGCGCCGCGGCGTCCGTCGCCTCGCGCGCCTCCGCGGCCTTGGCCGCGAGGGCCTCCGCGTGCGCGTCGTCGCGCCGCCGGACGGCGTCCGCGAGCAAAATCGCGTGCCGCTGCTTCAGGTCCGCCTCCGCCGCGGCCACGGTCTCCCCGGCGACGCGCGCCGCGGCCTGTGCCGCCGCGCGCTTCGCGAGCCGGTCGTCGCCGCCGCGCGGCCGTTTGGCGTCGGCGAGCTCGTGCGCGGCGTGCGCGGCCGCGAGCTGACCCTTGCTCACCTCGAGCACGATGCGCGCGCGCGCCTGGGCCAGCTCCGCCTCGGCGCGGTCCGCCCGCGCCGTCGCCGCGGCCGCCGACGCGTCCGCCGCGTCCGCGGCGGTCGCCGCCGCGCGCGCGGCGGCGCCGTCGACCGTCGCCCGTCGGGTCGCCGCCCGCTCCTCCTCGAGGCGCGCCTCGAGGCGGGCGACCTTCGCGCCGAGCCCGCCGCATGTCTCCTCGAGGTTCGCGACGCGCGCGGCGGCCTCGTCGTCGTCCGCGGCCGCGCCGTCCGCTCGCTTCGCGAGACGCTCGCATTTCGCCTCGAGCGCGCCGACCGCCGCGGCTCGGTCGTCGGCGCTCCGCTCGAGCGCCGCGACCTTTTCCTTCTCCGCGGCGAGCTGCTCGAGGCTCCGCGCGAGCTCGGGTCGCAGCGCCTCGACGGCCGCGCGGAGTTTATTTGCCTCGCCGCGGAGCTCCGCGGCCTCCGCCGCGAAGGCCGCCTCCGCCCGTTCGCGGTCCGCGATCCAGCGCGCCTCGTGCGCCGCGCTCGCCGCCTCGACTTCTCGTAGTTTTTTGGCCACGGCGGAGGCCTCGTCCCGGAAGGGCGCGGCCGCGGCGAGCTCCACGCGCAGCGCCGTCGCCTTCTCGCGCTCGGTCTCGGCGGAAGCGGCCGCGGCCGACAGCTCGGCCTCGCAGCGCGCGATGGCGTCGCGCGACGCGCGGTTCGCGGCCTCGAGGCGCCGCCGCTCCGCCTGCGCCGCGCGGTCGCGCCGGTCGCTCTCCGCGCGCAGCGCCGTCGACCGCTCCACCTCGAGTGCGAGGCGCGCATTCGCCGCCTCGGCGGACCGCTCCGCGTCGACGGCGCGTTGATTGAGGATGGACTTTTCCGGGTCGAACTTGCGCGACGCCGGGTTCATCGTCTGCCGTGGACGACGGCCGGACTACTCGAGGCTGCCCATCGAGGCGCTGGAGACATTCAATGAAAAAGGGCAACCTTATTGGTTTCATTAAAAACCAGCCGGAGAGCATGGGCCGCCAGATCCTCGTCGTCGTGGCAGCCCTCGCCGGGCGCGCCGCCGCCGGGTGCTCCGGCGAGAGCTCGGCCATCTACGACTGGGAGTGCGAGGCGTGGCAGGAGCTCTTCGACGCCACGGGCGGCGAGAACTGGACGCAGTGCTCCAAGCTCCGCGACGACCCGTGCGCCTGCGACGGCGGCGAGGGCGACGTCTGCGCGCCGGGCCTCGGGCAGCACGACATGCGCTACGGCGTCTGCTGCGACGCCGTGGCCGACGTGGGCCGGGGCATCACGCGCATCGTGCTCCACGGCGCGAACATGACGGGAGAGCTCCCCGACAACCTCGACCGGTTCTCGGAGCTCGTCGTCTTCGACGTCGACCACAACCGGCTGACGGGCACGATCCCCCAGAGGCTGCCCGCGCGGCTCGGCGCGTTCTACGTCGGCGGCTACACGAACCGCCTCGCGGGCCCGCTGCCCGCGGAGCTGCCGTCGGAGCTCGCCTACTTCGACGTCGACGGCCAGACCTACGGCCACAGCTCCTTCGACAAGTCCGTGCCCGCGGCCTGGGCCACGGGCTTCGCGGAGCTGCTGGACCTGAAGCTGAAGTACACCGGCCTCACGGGCCCGCTGCCGGACCTCAACTTCTCGCGCATGGCCGACTGCGGCATGAAGCGCTGCTGCGAGACCGCCGGCGCCGCGCGAGCTTCTCGGGTGCTCATCTTTCTTTCGTAGGCGACCTCACGGGCAACGCCTTCGACTGCCCGCTGCCGCCCGGCGCCGCGGAGCTGTGCAACGCGACGTGCGTCGGCAATTCGAAGCCGACGCTGCGCCACGTCGTCCTCGGCCGCTGGACCGACGACGCGACGGACGCCGCCACCGCCGCGGCCCTCGCGTGCCTCCGCGCGCTGCCGCCCCGGGTCCCCGAGATCCTCTCCTACGACGTCGGCGCGGACGAGAACATCACGGCGGGCAACTTCGACTTCGGCGTCGTCGGCACGTTCGCGTCGAAGGCGACGTTCGAGGCCTACGAGGCGAGCGCGCCGCACCAGGCGTGCCTCGCCCTGCTGGCGCCCGTCCTCGCGGAGAAGGCCGCCGTCGAACAGGCGCTCTAGGAAAAACCGTTACGCCGCGCCCTCGAGGCGGTAGGCGCCGTCCACGGGCACGTCGGGGAGCGGGTCCGCGTCGCCCTCCGTGCGGTAGTAGATGAGGGAGTAGCGCTCGCCGCTGTAGTCCGTGACCCAGTGGGGGAAGCGGCCGTCGACGCGGCCGAACCTGCGCCGCGTGTCGACCCAGCACACCGTGCTCGCGTCGTACTCTACGGCGATCATGCCGCCGCCCGCCGAGTAGTCGCCGAGCGAGCACCCGTAGAACGCCGCCAAATTCTCCGTGTCGATGTGGGGGCTCCCGCGGAAGCCGTGCGTGACCGCGAGCGACGTGAACGTCTCCGCGTAGGCCGCGTCGACCTCGGCGAGCGCGGCGACGGCCAAGTCCCAGACCGCGCGATGCTTCGCGAGCTTCGCCGCGTTCTTCTGCGCCTTCTGGCCCGCGGCGTTGTAGTTGCCGTCGGCGTCGTAGTACTTCGTCCGCGGCCGCTGGAGCGTGAGGTAGTGGTCCGCGTCGACGCGGGGCCGCTCGCGCGTCGACGTCCACGCCGTCCGCCGCAGCGCGTCGAGCAACGCGTCCGCGACGGCGTCGGACACGGGCGCGCCCGCCGCGTAGACGACCTCGCGCGCGCCCAAACCGTCGCCGACGCCCGTCGCCGCGTAGGCCGCGAGCAGCGCCGCGAAGACCCGCTCGCGGTCGCCCCGGGCGTCGGCGGGCAGCGCCGCGCCGAACGTCACCTCGAGGCGCCGCGTGAGCTGGGGCGTGCTGTAGGGCTCGAGCTGCGCCCGGAGCGTGCTCGCGTTGCGCGCGCCGGCGCAGCTGTCGGCGATGTCGCAGGCCTGGGGCGCCTTCGTCGGCTTCTCCGTCGTCGCGCGCACGTCGCAGCCCGGCAGCGCCTCGCGCAGGGCCGCCGCGGCGCCGGCCTTGATCTTCTTGTTGAAGCGCACGTCGAGGACGACGAGCGGCAGCGTCGCCAGCGCGTCGACGGGGAGGGAGCGCGCGACGGGGAAGAGCGAGTTCGACAGGAGGTTCAGCTTGCAGAGGCCCCGGCACGCGGCGATCTCCGGCGGGACGACGCGAATTTTATTGCGCGACAGGTCGAGCTCGACGAGGCACCGCAGCCGCGCGAAGATCGTCGCCTCGAGGACGTCCAGCAGGTTGCGGCTGAGGTCGAGCACGCGGCAGCTCTCGGCCACGGCGTAGCCCGGCACGCTCTCGAGCGACTGCGCGGACAGGTCCTGGTGCGCCTCGTCGTCGCCGGAGTCGCCGCCGCCGTCGTTCGGCAGCGCCGCCGCGAGGAAGTCGGCGGCGGCGGGCGGCGGCGCCGCCGCGCGCAGGCTCAGCTTCTTGCGCGCCACGCGGCCGCCCATGGCCCGCGCCTCGTCGAGGGGCTCGAGCAGCTCGGCCGTCAGGACCGCCTCCGAGTCGCTGTCGGCCTGGTCGTCGCTATAACAGAAGCACGACGGGAAGAAGAGGGCCATTGTGACTGTGGTGGAGCGCGGTTATGCTTTTGCGGAGCACGACTGCTTTGTTCAGTGTGCTCGTTCGCTCCTGCAAAACTGTGCGGCCATCGCTTGCGAGGTCAATCTTTTTTCTTGCAGCGAGTTGATGGTGCAGCCCACGATGGCATGCTGATACGCAGCCTCGCAGCAGCCTTGCTCGCATGTGCGGTCGCCATGCCGTCGCAGCAGCCTTGCTCGCATGTGCGGTCGCCATGCCGCCGCACCTCGACCGGACCTGCGCGCACCTCGAGCCGCGGCCGCCGACGCAGCCGCCGTCGCCGCGCTGCGCGCGCTGCCGCGCGCTGGCAGCCCTGGAGCGCTTCCAGGCGTCGCCGGTCTTCGCGCCGCTCCTCGACGCGGCCATCCGCGGCGCGAACGCGGCCTACGCGTCGCGGTCCGGCCTGCTCGTGTCGTCGCGCGAGGACGCGGGCGAGCGGACGCCGTTTCCGCCGGCGCGGGCGGCGACGTCGGTCTCGGCGCGGCGCCGCGGCGCCGCGGCCGCGTTCCGCGCGTCGAGCCTGCTGCGCGACGACGTGCCCGTCTGCCCCTACGGCCGCCGCGGCGCCGTCGGCTGGGTCTTCCGCTCGTCGTCGAGCCGCTTGCGCGACGGGTCCGGGTTCCCCATGGACTGCGGCTGCCACTACGGCGGCAGTCGCGTCTTCCTCGACAAGGACGGCGGCGCCCACGCGACGTGCGCCGGCGGCGCCGCGAAGCGCGTGCGCGGCGCGCTGGAGAGCTGCGAGCGCGGCGGCGACGGGTCCGCGGCGCGCCGCGTCGGCCGCGCGCTGGTGTGCCACGTCAGCGGGTGGACGTCCGTCCTCGACGCGCACCGCGATCTCGCGGCGGAGGCGAGAGGGCTGAACGGCTCGGCCTGCGCCGCGGAGCTCGCGTTCCGCCTCGACCACAACCAGGTGTCCTTCGCGACGGACGCCGCGGACCAGGCCGTGGCCGCGGTCTTCTACGCGACCGGGACGTCGGACGACGCCGGGGGCCACGTCGCGGCGCTCGCGCTCGCGCTGGAGCTCCGCGACGCCCTCGGCCCGGAGCTCCGGCGCGGGGGCGGAACGCGTGGCGCCTGGTCCGCGGACCTCGCCGCGTCCAACGCGACGCCCCCCGTCGTGGCCCTGGGCCCGGCCTGCGACTGCGGCTACGGCGCCGCGGCCTGCGACGGCCGCGGCGTCGTCGCGGCGCGGCCCTCGCGCTGGCCCGCGGACGACTGCGCGCGATGCTGCGGCGGCTAACGCCGCGCGTTCTGGGCTAATTTTCTTACAACTTGTCCGGGGGCTGCTGCGTCAGCAGGAGCCCGAAGCGCTTCTTGCACGCGATGCGCTGGGAGCTGAACTTGTCGTCGGGCGAGAAGCGGGCTGCGGCGGGGGGAGCGTCGGGCGAAGCGACGATCGAGGGCGCGCGCGGCGTCGTTTCGCGCGCGCGCGGCGCGTTCGGGGGCTTCGGGCGCACGCACCGGGGTGGGCGGAGGTCGTGGGCTTGGCGTCGTCGCCGTAGCTCTTCTTCAGCGTGTAAACTCGGTTCCCGTCGTCGTCGAGGTGGTACATGAGATGCATCGTGCGTCGCGGCGCGGCAAGCGGCCCCGCGGCGTCCGGGCGGCTCGGGGGCGGTCCCGCGGTGTCGGGGCGGTGTCCGGGGCGACGCGGGGGCGGTCCCGAGCAGTGGTTGCGGCTGGTCGAGGGCGTCCAGACGATGCTCTCGCTGAGGGGCAAGGTCGGAGGTGTCGCCAAGCACCCCGAAATATCCACAAGGAGCAGCCAGCCGCCGACGCCTCGCAAAGCGGAAGCGCGGATCTGCTAATCTGCTCGCGAGCGCCGTGGACAGCGAACATCTCAGCGAGCTGCGGCAGTGTGCCGTTCCCGCCAATTTTGTTCCGAAGCGCGCAATCGCATAGCATCTGCAGCGGCTTGTGACACTTGCCAAGAGCTTGCTGTGGCAACAGCGAGACATCTGCAACACAAACAAAACAGATCTGCAAGAGAGACAATGGCAGCCATGGACGACGCGGACGCGGCCGCTTTGCAGCAGCGCCTCGACGAGCTCGCGGCGGAGACGAGCAGCATCAAGCGCAAGCTCGAGCAGCGGCGCCGCGGCGACGCGGACGGGGCGCTCGCGAGCCCGCGCTTCAAGCGCGGCGGCGGCGGCCGGCGCGGCGGCGGCGGCAAGGAGGGCGCCGCGCCGAAGCGCCGCGCGACGGAGCACCGGCGGCCGTCCGCGCCGCCGAAGGACGCGGACGACGAGGGCGGCCGCTTCAAGTGGGTCAGCGGCGGCGACGACGCGAAGTCGATCGCGCGGCTCGTCGTCGGCGCGGCGCTGCCGTCGGCCGTCGTCGGGTTCCCCGTGGCGCTGCACTCCAAGTACGAGGTCAACGTGAACACGGCGGTCAAGGGCGTCGCCATCGCCGCGAAAAGGTGCACCGACGAGCTCGCGGCGCCCATCGCCTGCGCGCCATCCTTCCGCGAGAACCGCAACGAGCTGACCATCACCGTCGTCGAGCTCCAGCGCGCCGCGCCGGACGTCGACGCGCCGGGCGCCGCGGTGGAGACGCTCACCGTCGCGCGCGCGACGGACTACCGCGTCCTCGCCGGCGCCGTCGCCAAGCGCGCGCGCGCGGGCGACGCGTCGAACCTGCGGGCCATCGGCGCGGCGGCGGTCTTCACGGCGGCGCGCGCCGTCGCGACCTGCCGCGAGTACCTCGCCGAGGACGCGGCCGCGCTCGACGTCGTCGCCGTGCCGCGCTTCGCCAAGGTCCAGTTCGACGGCCGCGACGAGGAGACGACGGTCCTCGAGCTCGTCGTCTTCCCCTCCGAGGACGGCGGCGCCGAGGACTGAGGCGGTCCCCGGCGTTCTCGAACCGGCGGAGCGTGCTAACATTCGCGACTGGGAGTCCGTTGCGCGGCCGTTGATGACCCGAGCTAATGGTGAACCGGGTGAAGGATTCGATTGCACGCGCCGAGGCGAAGCGCCAGGGCGCCGATGCTGTGACATCAGCGGCTGTTGTTCGCGGCGAAGCTCTTCACCGTCGCCGTCGCCATGCCTCCGCACGCATTGCTCACCATCGCCTTCGCGACCTGCACCGGCGCCCTCACGGTCCCGATCCTCTCCCTGGACCACGGCCCGCTGCCGCTGGACATCCTCAGCCTGGACGAGCTCCCGGAGGTCACCCTGCGCCAACTGAAGCTCGAGAGCGGCGGCGGCCCGCGGCTGCTGGGCCTGCTCGACGGCGAGCCCGCGGTCGGCGCCCGCGGCGTGCTCTGCCACGTCGAGGAGCACGGCGACGACGGCCACCGCGCGCTCGCGTTCTCGCGCTTCGAGGTCGCGGACCAACCGTCGCTGGGAGGCGGGCCGACGCGGCTCGCGGTCGGCGACGTCGCGCCCGTCACCGACGTCGAGGCCGAGGACGACCCCGTGCTCCGCGACAGCCACGACCTGCTCCAGCGGCGCCACGCGCTGGCCGCGGACGAGCTGCGCGTGCACCTCGCGTACGGCCGCATGGAGCAGCTCGTCGCGCTCTGCGACGAAAGATTAGCACCATCGGCCGCGGCCGTCGACTCCATCTCCGTGAAGCGCTTCGCGCCGGGCGCGGCGGAGACGCTGGCCGTGGACGACGAGGAGTGCCGCCTCGACGGCGAATCCGACGCGTGCCTGCTCGAGCGGAGCTTTTTGCACGCGCCCGCGGTCCGCGACGCGGCGCTGCAGGCGGCGTCGCCGGAGCTGCTGGCGCCCTTCGCCTGCGACCGCCGCGAGCTCTACAGCTTCGCCGTGCTCCGGGCCGTCGGCCTCAGCCGCGGCGAGGCCCGGCGCGCGGTCACCGGCGCGTCGACGTCCGAGCGGCTCCGCGTCGCGGAGCGGCGCCTGGCGACGACGAACCAGTGGCTCGCGACGCGCATGGGCCTCGGCGACCTCGGCGACCTGCCCGCCGACCCCTGGGCGCCGACCTCCGCGCCGCCGCCGCCGCCGCCGCCGCCGCCGCCCGCGCTCCTCCGCCTCTTCGCCGCGCCCCTCGGCATCTTCCGCCGCCGCGAGCAGGTCCGCGCGCGGTAAGGAGCCACCTTGTACATGCTCGTCCCTGAACCGCAGACCGTGTCGCTACGTCAATAGCTGCAACAACAACAGCTCCATGAAGGTGCTTGAAGTCGATGAAACCGCCGATTTTCAAGCACGCTCTGCTTACGTCGCATCGCATCCAGAACCGAAGCAGCCCCGGAGCTGCGTCCGACACCCCGAGCTCCTCGCTCCAGCAAATGCTCTTCGAGCACGACACCTGGTCCCTCTGCAACGGCGTCCGCTGGGCGGCGAACCTCGAATTCGCTCAAGACATCACCGCCGCGCCCGCCCGCCCCCAGTGAGCCCGTTCGCACGACACCCTTCATCATGGACGCGCTCGCCCTCGTCGCCTGCCTCGTCGGATTCGTCGCCGCCATTTCCGCCGCCCGCCTCTGGCTCGCCGCCGCGCCGTCCGCGCGCCGCGCGTGGGGCGGCCCGGGCCGCGGCCGCCGGTCGCCGTCCCGCCGGTCGCCGTCGCCGCGGTCGTCCGCCGCGGACGTGGACCGCGCGCGCAAGGTCCTCTTCCTCATCAGCGACACGGGCGGCGGCCACCGCGCCTCCGCCGACGCCCTCGTCGAGGCCCTGGGCCGCTGCGCGCCGGACGTCGCCACGGAGGTCTGCGATCTGCTGACCGACGTCGCGCCGTTCCCCTACAACGCCGCCGTGCCGCTCTACAAGTTCCTCGCGGCGCGGCCCTGGCTCTGGCGCCTCGTCTGGTACGGCACGGCGCTCGTCGACCGCGTCATCTCCGACGGCGCGCCCTGGCCGGGCTGCGCGGCTCCCTTCGAGGCCAAGCTCCGCGCCGCCGCCGCGGACGTCGTGGTCAGCGTGCATCCCATGCTCCAGGCCGGTCCCCTGGACGCTCTGGAGGCACTGGCGGCGGAGACGGGCCGGGCGACGCCCTTCGCCACGGTCGTCACGGACCTGGGCGCGGCGCACCCGACGTGGTTCTCGCGCCGCGCGGACAAGATCTTCGTGCCGTCTCTTCAGCTCCGCGACGCGGCCCTCGACAAGGCGGCGCCGCACCGGGTCGTGACCCACGGCCTGCCCATCCGCCGGGCCTTCTGCGACGGCGGGCTCGCGAAGGGCGACGCGCGCGCGAAGCTCGGCCTGCCCCTCGACAAGAAGACGGTCCTCGTCATGGGCGGCGGCGACGGCTTCGGCGCGTTGAAGGCCACGGCCCTCGCCGTGCGCGCGGCCTGCGCCGACGCCACGGTCGTCGTCGCCTGCGGCCGCAACGCGGCGCTCAAGGCCGAGCTGGAGACCGTGGAAAACATGATCGCGCTCGGCTTCACCAAGGCCATCGACGAGTGGATGGCGGCGTCGGACCTCCTCCTCACCAAGGCCGGCCCGGGCACCATCGCCGAGGCCGCGGCCCTCGGCCTGCCCGTGCTCCTGACTGGCTACCTCCCCGGCCAGGAGTTCGGCAACGTGTCCTACGTGGAGCAGGAGGGCATGGGCGCCTTCGAGCGCGACCCGGACGCCAGCGCCGCCACGGCCAAGGCCTGGCTCGGCGACGACGCCAAGCTCGCGGCGCTCGCGGCCGCCGCGCGCGGCGCCGCGCGGCCCGACGCGACGCTCGACATCGCCAAGGACCTCGCCGCCATGGCCAAGAGCGCCTAGGCCGGCTTCGACCCGCGCGCCCAAGGACCTCGCCGCCATGGCCAAGGGCGCCTAGGCCGGCTTCGAACCGCGCGCCCAAGGACCTCGGCCGCCATGGCCAAGCGCGCCTAGGCCGGCTTCGAACCGCGCGACCCCGACCTCGCGCTCCCCTTCTTTTTTGCACTGCCCTTACCTCTTGAATCTCGGCGCGGGCCGCTCGCGGACCGAGCGAAGCTGGTGGTCGACCATGAGCCGCAGGCTCGCGTCGAGGTGCGCCGCCGCGTTGGAGACCGCCGGCGTCGGCTCGAGCAGGCGCAGCGCCCGCGCGCAGGCCTCGACGGTGGAAACGCAGTGCGCCTCGGGCTCGCTGCGGATGGCCTCGAGCGCCGACGTCGCCGCGCCGTCGAACGCGACCGGCCGCAGCGCCCGGAGCGACGGGCTCTGGCGGTAGATGCGCTTCGCCTGAGCCCAGGTGCCGTCGATGACCACGAGCAGCCGCGCCTCGTCGTCGAGCGCGTCCGCGACCGTTTCCAGCGGCGCCGCGCCGGCCGCGGGCCAGAGCAGGAGCGGCGGGGCCGTCGCGTCGCGAATCGCCGGGATCGTCGCCGCGTCGAAGCTGTACCCGACCTTGATCTCCACGGACTCGAGGCACAGCGGCAGCAGCGGCACCGTGGAGAAGTGGCGGCGGCGGAACTCGTTCGGGTGCTGGAGGACGAGCAGCTTTGTTTTCGTCGCGATCGCCCGGGCGGGCAGCGCGTCGCAGACGCAGACCGACGGCGGCCGCGCGCAGCGCGGGCACGTCGGCCGCGCCTCCACGGTGCGAACCTTCGCGCGCCGCTCCGAGGCCTTGATGCTGCGCGATATTTGCTGCTGCTGCTGCCTGTTGTCGACGGACAGGCTTTGTGCGACGAGTATCGTCGTGAGGAAGCTTATGAGCATCATTATTGTGTGCTTAGCTTGAGGCGCGGGCGCGGGGCCGGCTGCGCGCGACGAGCAGCCGAACACAACCTGCGTCACGACAGCTAGGCTAGGAGAGGTTAACAGCTAGAGGGCCTACCCGGGGGGTTTGCGGCACCAGGCCTTGCGGCAAGCTCAGTTTTTTGCCACTCGAGAAAATCTCAAGAAACTTCAACAGCTCATGTTGACCCCGCTTATGGACGCGCCTGGCAGCGTCTGCACCAGCGAAATCAGCGCAGAACCGCACCATTAGTCGTTTGAAACAAGGCGATGCTGTCTCCTGATGACCCACTACTCAAGCGCAGCGCCGCACGACCACAGGATGCATGCCCAGTGGAACGCGCCGCTGTCATCGACTGCCGCGCTGGCCTGGGGCTGAAGGAGCGCGAGTGCTATCCCTTCAATTATCGCGGCGAGTGCGACGACCTCGAGCTGAGGCTGAAGAAGTGCCTCGCGTACGCGCTCTGCGGCGCGAGAGACGCGTCCGCGATCTACGACGCGGGCCGCCCGCGGGCCGAGCGCCTCGAGGCGAACCGGCGCGTCCAGGAATGCCTCGCGCGGCGACGAGCGCTGGAACCCTGCATACCGCGCAAGCACGCATTCACGCAGCACCACGCCTTCGCGCGGCCGCCCCGGGCCGCGGACTAGCCGGCGGCCGCGCGCCGCGATGTCATTTTCCACCAACCATAGTTGTCGCGTTCGGAGGTTTAGACGGCCGGTCCACGACCCGCCGTGGTTCAGCCGTAGATGTCGTCGTCGTCGTCGCCCGGCGGGTCCGGGATGTGGGCCCAGGGGTTGGCCGGGGGCGGTGGCCTCGCCGGGTTGGCCCGCGGCGGCGCGGCCGCGGCCGTCGGCGGCCGGAGCAGCGAGAGGAGGTCCAGGCCCGGCGGCGGCGGCCCGCCCGCGCCGGGCATGGCCGCGAGGAGCGCCGGGTCGAAGGCCGGCGGCCGCGCGGCGCCCGGCGGCCCGCGGCCGGCCATGGCCGCGAACATGGCCGGGTCGAAGGCCGGCATGGCCGGCGCCGCCGGCGCCGCCGGCCGCGCCCAGGGGTTCGGCAGCGCGCCCGGCGGCGCGTTCGGGTCCTCGGGGACGGCGGGCGCGGCGCCGCCGCCGCCGCCGCCGGTCCCGCCCATGTTGTCGAGGCTGTCGAAGAGGGGCTCCTGGACCTCGTTGTACATGCGGCGCAGCGCGTTGAACCCCTCGGGGTGGTTCTCGAGCTGCGAGAGCGCGAGGTCCTGGTGGCGCATCGCTTCGCGCAGCCGCGCGGGCGACCGCGCGACCTCGACGGCCTCGCGCAGCAGGTTCGGGTCCGTCAGGGCGTGGCGCAGCTGCGGGTTCTGCTCCATGGCGCGCTGGAGCTGGGGGTTCGACTGGACGATGGACTGCATCAGCGCCGGGTTCTCCATCAGGCTCCGCGTGAGCGGGCTGTTGAGCACGCGGCTCATGGCCTCCGGGTCCGCCATGAGGCGCCGCTGCATGTCGGCCTGGGACATGCCCGGGCCCATGCCGCCGCCGAAGAGGTCGAGGCCGCCGCCGCCGGCCGGGTTCGCGAGCGTCGGCGCCGCGGGCGCCGGGGGCGCGGGCGCGCGCGCGACGGCGCGGAGCAGGTGCACCGTGCCGCCGTCCTCGATGTCGAGCTCCGCGAGGAGCTGCGCATCCTGCAACGCCCGGCCCTTGTAGATGAGGCGCTGCTCCGCGGCGGGCACGGCCGCGTCGCCGGCGATCTGGTCTTTGAACTCGGCGACGGACGAGGCCTTGGAGCCGCGCCATCCGAACGCCTTGCCCGACGAGCACCTGATCTGGATGTCCATCTCGTCGGCCATCTCGTCGGGGCAGAGGGGCCGCGCGCAGGGACGGGGCGCGCACGCGTCGCGAAGGCCGTCGAGGACTTGCGAGGTGATTGAGACACGCCGAGGTTGGAGAGGCATCGATGCATCGTCTCGGAGAAGTCGACCTTGCCCTCGCCGCGCAGCCCCTCGCGTCCGGTGATTTGAGCATGGAAGCTCCTCGCCTGCCTGGGCGGCGAGGCGACGGAGCCCGCGCGGCGCTGCGTGGCGGCGCTCCTGCGCGAAAACGTCGAAACGGCGCTGGCGGCGCTGCCCGGCGTGCCGCCGTCCGCCGTCGCGAGCGTTTTGCTGGCGCAGTGGGGCCTCGTCCACCTCGTCGGCGGCTGCCTCCTCGTCCGCGGCGCCGGCGACGTCGGCAAGGCGCTCGCCGCGCACAGGACGCCCCTCGCGCGGCGCATCGCCGCGTGGCAGGGCGCGGTGCTCGCGTGCGCCGCGCTCCACGCGTTCGCCGCCGCCGCTCTGAGCGCGCTCGAGCGGCCGGAGGCCGCGCTCGCCGCGGCGCCGGCGCTCTGGGTCGACGTGCTGACGGCGTTCCTCGTGGCGCCGGCGACGGCGGGCCGCCTCGCGCGGTCGCTGCTCCTCGCCAGCGGCTGCGGCGTCGCCGGCGCGGCCGGCGGCGCGGTCGTCGAGACCGCGGCGCGCGCGGCCGGCGCGGTCGCGGCGCTCGCCGCGCTCGTCGCCTACGCGCGCGGCGGTGCGGCGCCGGACGAGCGGGCGTACCTTCCGGACGAGCGGGCGTACCTTCCGGACGAGCGGGAGGACCTTCCGGACGCGCCGCGCGCCGCGGCGGTCGAGCGCGTCGACGCGGCGACGCCGCCGGCGCCGCCGGCGCCACCGGTCGACGACGACGACGAGGACGAGCTCGCCTACTCGCCCCCGTCGAGCCCCGCGCGCCTGCCGCCGCCGTCGGACGACGCGTCGGACGACGAGCTCGCCTATGCGCCGGCGGCGAAGGAGGAGACCGTCGAGGCCGAGGCCGCGGCGACGGCCGAGGCGCCCGAGGAGGCGGCGGAGGCGGCGCCCGAGGAGGCGACGCCCGAGGAGGCGACGCCCGAGGAGGCGACGGCCGCGGCGCCCGAGGAGGCGCCGGTCGCGGACGAGGACGCCGCCGCGGCGGACGAAGCGCCGGCGGACGAAGCCGTCGCCGCCGCGGCGGACGACGAAGTACCCGCAGAGGAGGCCGGCGGCGCGGGCGAGGTGGCCGTCACTACGGAAGCGGGCGACACCGGAGCGGACGAGGAGCCCGCGGAGGACGCCGCCGCTTCGGAGGAGCCGGCCGCGCCGGAAGAGGCCGCTCCGACGGCGGACGCCGGGAGCGACTGCGGCTTCGAGCGGGGCTCGTCGCTCGACGACGCGCGGAGCGCGACGCCGCCGGGCCGCGTGCGCGACCGCGCGAGCCGCTGGGGCGGCCAGGTGCGGTCCGCCGCGGCGCCGCGCGGCGCCGCGGCGCCGCCGCCGCCGTCGCCGCCGCCCGTGGCCGCGTCGCTGTCGCCGCGCGTGCCGAGCTCGCCCGCGCCGCCGCCGCGGCTGCGGGTCATCGGCGCGGGCGCGCTCCTGCGCGCGGGCGTCGACATGAAGAGCAAAAAAGTCGTCGAGCTCAAGCCCGGCGCGGTCGTCGTCCCGCTCGAGGCCGGCACGTCCGCGAGCGGCGTGCCGCGGACGCGCGTGCGCTGCGTCGACGGCGGCGCCGAGGGCTGGCTCTCGAACAAGACCGTCGAGGAGTCGCCGCCGCACGCGACGCCCGTCCACGACGCGACGCCGCGGCCCCTCGCGCGTGGCCCACGGAAGTCGTCCGGCGGCCGGTCGTCGCCGGCGTCGTCCGTCGCGTCGTCGCAGGGCCGCGCGAGCCCCCTGGACTTCGACGCGGCGCCGCGCGCGCGGCCCTTCCGCCGCTACGGGTCGCCCGTCGACTTCGTCCCGGAGGGCGCGGACGCCGCCGCGGCGCTCGCGCGGCCCTGCGTCGGCGCGGAGCCCGTGCCCGAGCCCCTCGCGCGGGGGAAGGACGCGTCCCCCGTCGACTTTGGCGTCGCGCTCGTCGCGCCCGTCGCGTCGCGGGACGCGTCCGCGCCGCCGCCGCCCTGGCCCGAGACCGTCGGCTGCGGCTTCGACGGCGTCGCGCGGTCCCTGCGTTAGACAAGTTACACGTCGCGGCTCTCGCCGCCGACGTAGCCGCGGCCCAGGCGCCGCCCGCGGTCCGCGCGCGCGCGGCGCCGGCGGAGCGCGCGGCCGACGACGTAGAACGCGACGCCGACGAGCGCGCCGTTGAGGTGCGCCGCGTGGTCGACGCCCCCGAGCCCGTTGCCCGTCCACGCGCGGTTCACCTCGCCCGCGAAGTAGCGCAGCGCGCCGACGGCGTGGAGGAGCGCGTGGAGCACGGCGTCGTCGCTCGCCGGCCGCCGCGGCGCCGCGAGGCGCTCGAGGGACGCGCAGAGGTCGACGGCCAGCAGCGCCGCGACGCCCGCGGACGCGCCGACGAGGCGCCGCTGGCGCGCGCGCGTCTTCGCGACGTTCCGGGCGATGGTGCTCGCCGTGTCGTCCAGCGCCGACGACCCGAGGTCGAGCGTGCGCCGCGCCGTCGCCGCCGCGGACGCCAAAGCGTCGCCGAGCGCGTCGCCGACGCCGCCGAAGCCCCCCCGGTCGTCGCGCGGGCGAGGAACTCGCGCCTTCGGCGGCTCGAGGAACGCCGGGTCGAGGCCCAGCGCGTCGAGCACCGGCGCGGCGCGCCGGGACAGCGCCGCCGTCGCCGAGGACCACCGCGCGCGGAGCCGGCGCTCGAGCTGTAAATCCGTGAGTTTCGCCGGGTCCAGCGCCGCGCAGACGCCGGCCGTCACGTACACTAAAATAGCACCGACGCCGCCGAGAACGTCGAGCGCCGCGGGCCCGCTGAGCACGAGGCCCTGGAGGTTCGCCATCGCGTGCGCGTGGTCCACGTGGAGCAGCATGTACGACGCGGCGGTCCACCAGCGGCCGCGCTCGAGGGCGCCCCGCGAGAAGACGAAGTGGCGCTCGAGGACGCTCGGGCGGATGGGGAGGGAGACGACGCTGCGGAACTCGCGGCCGTAGGACGCGTCGAGCGTCGGCACGAGGAACTGGGCCAGGATGACGGGCGCGAACGACGACGCCACGGACGCGTACTTGTCGAAGGCGCCGGCGCCGTTCATCTCTTTGTAGCGAGACGATGCCGAAGCGGACGACACCGAAGCGGACAAGGAGCCCGCGGGGGACGCCGCCGCTTCGGAGGAGCCGGCCGCGCCGGAGGAGAACCCTCCGACAGAGAGCTCCGACAAAAAGAGCTCACGCGCACCACAAGAAACTCGAGCACATCGCGTCGTTGCCACAAGTGCCACAAGGAGTCGAAGATCAACTAACACCTCGTTTCCCATTCAAGTTGCAGTCGTCCTTCAGCGGATCGGCATGGTAGCCCTATATATTGTTTCCGGCGGATCGGCATGGTAGCAGCAGCCCATCGATGGGTCGCAAGCTCTCCATCGCCTGCGTCGCGTTCGTCCTGCTCTGCTGGCTGAGCGCCGTGCGCGACCTCGTCGCCCTGCACGCCGCGCCGCCGCCGCCGCCGGTGGCGACGGGTCCCGCCGTCACGCCCGCCTTCCGGCGCTTGGCGCTGCGCCACGCCTGGCGCGCGCCCGGCGACCTCGGCGGCGACTGCCGCCGCCGGCCCGTCGTCGCCAACGCCCACGCCGCCGGCCGGCCCTGCGACGTGAAGCGGTGGCACGCGGCGTCGCAGGGCCGCGAGGATTTAGCGATGATCAGCCGCTACTTCTGCGGCAAGCGCAACGGCACCTTCGTCGAGCTCGGCGCCGTCGACGGCCTGCGCTATTCCAACTCGTTGATGCTCGAGCGCGCCCTCGGCTGGCGGGGGCTGCTCATCGAGGGGCAGCCCGCGTCGGCGGCGAAACTGGCGGAGAACCGGGGCAGACGGAACGTCGTCCTCGCGGAGGCGGTCTGCCGCGAGGCGGGCACGGCGGAGTTCCTCGGCGCCGGCTACCGGCTCAAGGGCGGCCTCGCGGACCACCTGCGCGCGACGCGCGAGCAGGTGGCCAAGGCCGGCGGCAAGTGGCGGAACTGGGTGCCGTGCCGGCCCTTCGGCGCGATGCTGCGCGCGGCGGGCTTCGGGCCGGATCGCCCCGTCGACTTCGCGTCCGTGGACGTCGAGGGCGCGGAGCACGTCGTCGCGGAGACCATGGACTTTGGCATTCCCGTGCGAACGTGGCTCGTTGAGGCCCTGGATCGGGATCGGTCGGCGGATTCGCGCGACGCCGAGAACGTGCGACGGGTGCGCGCCGCGCTGCTGGGCCACGGCTACCGCGAGGCGGCGCACTTCAACGTGACCCAATTCTGCGACGAGGTCGCGGGCTTCGGGTTGCGCAGCAAGGAGCACCCGTGCACGACGAATCTCGTCTTCGAGCGGCCGGACCTGGTCTGGGATTTGGCGGCGGTCGACGCGGGCGACGCGCCGGCGCCGGACCTGGAGCGGCCCCTGGAGTGCTGCGGCTGCGAGGACCTGGCGCGGGCCATCGCGGCGCGGGCCGACGAACGGGACCGGCGAGACGCCGCGGCGCGGGGCGCCGTCGCGATGGAGGGATCGCCGGTAACGTGAATTGTTGCATCGATGCTGCTGTGTCGAGCTCGCCGGCAATATCTCCGTGAAACGCAGGTAACATTGAGTTCACAATGCATAGACGTTGAGGCGCCGGTCGAGCCGTCTCTGAGTTTGGTCGCCGGCGAGCTCCGCGCTGGACACCGCGCTCCGCTACTGCCGATCGAGCACCTCGCCGCTCTCCGGACGCCATGCTCGAGCGATCCACGGTCGCCCTCTTCCGCGACTGCCTGCGGCTCGCGAGCCACATCGGCGGCGACTCGCCGAAGGGCATCGCTTTAAAGCAGCTTGTGAAGGACGGGTTCCACAAGCACAAGGGCGAGACGGACCCGGCGAAGATCGAGCAGCTCCGCGAGGACGCGACGCGCGCCCTGTCCAACTACCTCGTCATGAAGTCGCTGAACCGCGCCACGGACAGCGACCGCGGCCTGTAACGCCTCGCGCCGGATCATCCACGCACGCAGCGACCGCGGCCCGTGAACGCCTACCGCCATGGCGATCACGACGCGCGGCGCCGCGGCCGCGGCGGCGACGCTCGCGCGCGCGCTCGAGCGCCAGTGGGCCGCGCACGGATCGCGCGGCGAGCCGGCGTACCGCTACCCGGCGGCGATGCGCGAGGGCGCCGCGGCGGCGCTGCTCGACCTCGTCGGCGGCAGCTCCTTGCTCGACCCCTTCTGCGGCGGCGGCTCCGTGCTCCGCGCGGCGCTCGACTCGCGGTCCCGGGCGCGCGTCGTCGGCCGCGACGTCTCGCCGCTCGCCGTATTTTGCGCCGCGCACCGCTGCAGCGCGCCCTTCGACGACGGCAGCGCGGCGCGGTTCTGCCGTCTCGTCGCGGACCAGCGGTCGGGCGACTACGACGCACTTTTCGCGGCCTACGGGCGCCGCGCGGCGGCGGACGCGGCCGGCGAGACGCGCGTGATCGTCGAATACGGCGACGCGCGCGAGCCCTTCGGCGGCGCCCCCGTCGACGCCGTCGTGACGTCGCCGCCCTACGCCCACGTCTACGACTATCTGCGAACGGCGCGCGCCGCCCGGTCCGCGGCCGCCGATCGCGGCGACGACCCCTTCTTCGGGACGCGTCCGCCCGCGGGCCGCGACTGGCCGGAGTCCTGGCGCGACGACCGCGAGCTCGGCGCCCGCGCCGCGCGCGTGAAAGCCGCCAAAAAGGGAAATTTGGCGGCGTCGGACGAGGCGTGGCGCGACGACACGCGGCGCTGGCTCGCGGCCGCGCGCGCGAGCCTGAAACCGGGCGGCCGCCTCGCGGCCGTCGTCGGCGACGGCGCCGGCGGCCTCGACGCGCTGGACCTGACCGCGGCCGCGGCGGACGACGTCGGCTTCGATTTCGTCGCGAGCGCGACGATCGCGCCCGACCGCGCCCCGGGCTTAAAGGCCTGCGCCCGAGGGGCAACCGGCGCACGGAGCACGCCGTCCTCTTCGCGCGGCCTCCCTAAACCGAATTAGATGCCCCCGTCGTCCTTCATGTTCGAGATCCAGAAGGCCGTCGGCCGCGGCGTCGCCCAGTTCGTCGTGTCGACGTCGGGCTCGGGCAGGTCGTCGCGGCGCACGAGCCGGATCTCCTCCCTGTGCGCAAAGGACTCGCCGACGAGCGCGTCGGGCCGCACGTAGGTGAGCGCGTCCTCCCACTTCCGCAAGGCTTTCTCGTCCACCGTCGCGGTGCCGGTCAAGGCGGGCGGCGGCGCGTCCATCTTCGTCACGAAGCAGTCGTCGGGGTCGAGGAGCAGGCCGTAGCCGCGCTGCGACGTGGCCACGGCCTTGCAGAAGGCCTTCATGAGCGCGGCGACGGTCTTCGTGGCGGGCACTTTCAGCTTGAGTTTGAAGGGCTCGCAATTCTCCTTCGGTCGCGGCTTGTAGTGGACGACGAGCGAGACGACCTCGAGCGCCGCCATAACGGCGTCGGACGTGGCGCCGCCGCCGACGCCGGGCAGCGGTGGCGGCGCGCTCGACGACGACGATGGTAGGCCTCTCGTCGAAGGGCTGCACTACGGCGGCATCATTGGTGGTTGAATCAATGGGTTGAATATGCAAGTAGATGCGCTAATTGGAATGCATGGACGACTAGCATGGGCGCCGGCGCCATGAGCCGCTACGGCATCGCGCTGGACCACGAGGACGGCGAGCTCGACGTGGCCAAGCTGAGCCACGACGAGCTCGAGGCCTACGCGACGAAGAGCGGCGCATCACCACCCGTGATCGACGTGCTGCGCGTGCGCAAGCTGGACGGCCAGGCGGCGCTCGCGGCATCCGTCGACGACGACGCGCCAGATGCGACGCGCGTGCAGCTCGCCGGCGCGCTGAGCCGGCTCCGCTGCCTCGAGGCGACGAACAGCGTCGCGCTCGCGGCGACGCCGGACCTGGCCGTGCGGGAGAACGAACGCGCGGACGCGGCCGCCGAGGCCGCGGGGCTCGCGACGCTGGACGAGCTGCGCGGCGCCGCGGATGCGGCGTGCGCCGAGGTCGGCGAGTACCTCGCGCGCGAGGCCGACGTGCTCTTTTTGCTGACCGGCGCCGGTTTCTCCGCGGACAGCGGACTCGCCGTCTACGCGGACGTCGCGAAAGTTCCGGCGTACGCGAAGCGCGATCTGGAATATTCCGAGCTCTGCGAGCCGGACTGGCTCGAGAAGGAGCCGGATCTCTTCTGGGGCTTCTGGGGCGCCTGCTTCAACGACTACCGGGGCACGGAACCGCACTCCGGCTACGACGTCCTCGCGTCCTGGCGCCGGAAGCGCTTCGCCGCCTCGGACGTCGCCGACGAGCTCCGCGCGCTCCAGGGCCCCGTGGCGGACGCGACGACGGGGCCCTACGCCGTCGCGCGGAGGGCCGGCGGCTTCTTCTGCTTCACGAGCAACGTCGACGCGCACTCCTACGACCGCTTCCCGGCGTGCGAGATCAGAGACTGCCACGGCAACGTCGAGGTCTACCAGTGCGCCGCGCAGTGCGACGCCCACCCGCGGCTCTGGCGCGCGCCGCGGGAATGGCGCTTCCGCGTGGACCTCGAGACCATGCTCGCGCGCCCCGGCGTCGTCGACGGCGACGCCGCGGCGCCGGAGCGCGCGGCGACCGGCGGGGCGCCGGCCGTCGGCCGCGTGGCGGGCGCGAAGCGCACGGAGGCGCTGTCCCTGATGCCGGCGGAGGCGTCGCCGCCGGACGGCGCGCGGACGTTCCCGCCGGCCGCGTACCCGGCGTGCGCCGGCTGCGGCGGACCTTCGCGGCCGGCGATTCTGATGTTCGGCGACTGCGCGTGGGAGGACCAGGTCGACCAGGAGAACCGCTGCGACGCCTGGATCGGCGCCGTCGAGGCCCTCGCGACGCAGCGCGCGACGACCGGCGACGTCCCGCTCCGGATCGCGGTGCTCGAAATCGGCGCCGGCGTTCGCGTGACCACGATTCGTCGGCAGGCGGAGCGCTGCGCGTCGGACTTCGCCGAGGCCGGCGCGGACGTGCGGCTGATACGCGTGAATCCCGACTTCCCGCTCGCGGACAACGTCCTCGCGCTCAAGGAGCGAAACGTCCGCGTCATTTCCGTTTGCGCCAAGGGCCGGGACGCGCTCGCGAAGATGGACGCGGCCTTCGCCCCGTGGCACGACCGGAGGAGTTCACGGGTCGTAAGTTGAAGTATATTTGCTCGATTGTTGACGCTCGGCCGTGACATCATTTAGTTGTAGCGTCAACGTTAAGCGCGCTCAGTCGTCGCCGCCCTGGTCGAAGCCCGTCGGCGGCGCCGGCGGCGCGTCCGCGCCCGCGGCGGACGCGCGGCGGACGTCCTGCTCGATGGTCACGAGCGCGCGGAGCGTCGTCTCCCAGAGCTCCCGGTCGCCCGGCGACTCGAAGCACAGGTCCAGGCTCCGGTCGCCCGTCACCAGGCTCAGGTAGCAGTCGGCCTTGTCCGCCTTGCCCGTGCGCCGGAGCACGTCCGTGTCCTGGCCGTGGGTGACCGTGACGACGGCCGCGAGCTCGATGCCCTGGATGGACGCGCGCTTGCCCTTCCAGGTGAGGTACCTACCAAGCATGACGGTGACGATTTCTCATTGTTTCCCACCCAAAATCTCTCGAAAATCGTCACGGCCACAGGACGCTGGAGGTACATGAAGAGGTACATGTCGCCCTGGACGAGGGACAGCTGGAAGCGCTTCTTCGTGGGGCGGCCGCTGCGGAAGGGGTGCTTCAGCACCGTGACGCCCGCCGTCGTGAGCTTCTCGAAGAGGTCGTACTCGCGCTCCGCGAGCGTGCTCCGGATCGTGTACATGGTCGCGGCCATGGCCGTGTAGATCGTGTTCGGCGAGCACAGCAGCTTCTCCGCCTTGTCGTCGGACGCGGCGCCGATGGGGTGGCTCGCGTAGTCGGGCAGGATCGCCTCCTTCCACCAGAACGCGCCCCGCAACCGGTAGAGCTCGCCGGAGAAGGTCGCGTGGTACCAGGCCTGGAGGTCGTCGCGCCGGTTCGCCTTCGCGTGGAGCGTCCACTGGGCCGCGTCGAGCTCCATGGGCGCGCGGTTGCCGTCCTTGACGAACTGGACCCACCGCTTCCAGGCGCCGCCGACGGCCGCCGCGCGCCGCAGCTCGAGGACGCGCGCCAGGCGCTGCAGCCCCCGCTCGATCCGCGTCGTCCGCGTGAACTGCGCGAGCCGGGCCTTGACCTTCTCGACCTCCGCCGCGAGGTCCGACGGCGCCGACATCGCGACCGGAGCCCGACCGGTTCCCGCACGCGGCGCTCGAGCCCGACGGCGCCCACGCGGACGCGCACTGGGCCCGGGGCGGTGCTTCTATCGTGCGGCTGCCGTATTAAACGAACGTCAACATGCCGTCGGGTTGCCGTCGCCTAAAACGTCGAAATCCGACATCCTGCTCAGCGTCGGCGCGCCGTCGCGCTGCGCGCCCTGCACGCTGCGCCGCCGCACGCAATGAGCGGCGTCGAGTTCGTGCGCCAGTCGTCGGCGCCGGGCGGCGCCAAGGACGGCCCGCGCAGCGAGCCCTTCTTCGACCACGGCGCCTGCGAGAGCGTCAGCGGGCGCTACGAGAAGCGGGACCGCATCGGCGAGGGCACCTACGGCATCATCTACCGCGCCTTCGACCGGAGGCTCCAGCGCCTCGTCGCGCTGAAGCGGCTCCTGCCCCACAACGAGGCGCAGGACGGCTTCCCGCTGACGTCGCTCCGGGAGGCGGCGGCGCTCCGGAAGCTCCGGGGCCACGCGAACGTCGTCACGTTCCTGGACGTCGCCGTCGGCGCGAAGCGCGACGCCGTGTTCCTCGTGCTGGAGTACGCGGAGCACGGCGACCTCGGGTCGCTGCTCGACGACCCGAAGCTCCGGCGGCCGGGGCAGGCGCGTTTGTTCGACGACGCGCAGACGAAAGCGCTCGCGCGCATGCTCCTGAACGCGCTGCGCCACTGCCACGACCGCTTCGTCGCCCACCGCGACGTCAAGGTCGCGAATCTGCTCTACACGGCGCGGGGCCAGCTCAAGATCTGCGATTTGGTTTGGCTCGCGTCATCGCGCCGCGGTCCGCGGACGGCGCCGCGGCGCCCGGCGACCCCGGCGCCGTGCGCGCGCTGACGATGAACGTCGTGACGCTCTGGTACCGCGCGCCGGAGCTGCTGCTCCACGCGCGGCGCTACGACCACGCGATCGACGCGTGGGCCGCGGGCTGCGTCGTCGCGGAGGTGCTGCGCGACGGCCGCCCGCTCCTCGACGGCAAGACGGAGGACGACCAGTTCGCCAAGGTCGTCGACGTCATCGGCGCGCCGTCGGCGCGGGTCTGGCGGGGCTTCGACGAGCTGCCGCGCGTCAAGGACGGCTCGGCGCGCGTGCCCACGAACCCGTCGGCGTACTACTCCAAGCTCAAGATCAAGGTGCCGGAGGCCGACGACCGCGCGCTCGACTTCCTGAGCTCCCTGCTCTGCTACGACCCCGTCCAGCGCGCGACGGCGCCCGAGGCCCTCGGCCACGCGTGGTTCGACGACCACCCGCGGCCCGCGGCGCCGCTCGCCATGCCCCAGTTCCCGCCGCGGCGCGAGGAGCCGCCGCCGCCCGAAACCCGGAAGCGGGGGCGCGACGCGCGATGATAAAAAGGGTCGGTGAATTTTTTTACAGTGAAAAGGAACTCTCCTCCTCGGGCTCGTCCTCGTCGCCGGAGCTGTCGTCGACGCGCGACGCCGCGGGGAGCGCGTCGGCGTCGCTCCCGGCCTCGTCGACGACCTCCGCGGGCACGACCGTCGCCGTCGCGCCGTAGGTCGCGCGCGCGAGCGGCACCGCGGGCCCCTTGGCGAACGCGAGCGGGTCGCGCTCGGGCGCGCGGCAGGGCCCGTGCTTCCGGCAGAGGTAGATGGCCAGCACGACGAGGGGCGCGCAGACGAGCCAGACGAAGAAGGACTGCATCATCTCGCTCCGGTAGCGGTCCGTCTGCCAGATGCGATCCGCGACGCCACGGATGGCCGTGTCCGTCGCGCTCGGCTCGTAGCTCTGGACGCTGTCGGGCCGCGCGCGGACCGTGGCGAGCCGCTCGCGCGATTTGCTCGACCCCGACTCGCCGACCTTGGCCGCCGCGAGGATGACGAGGATGCCCGCCGTCGCCGCGGCGTAGCGCAGGGACACGCGCACGCGCTGCCCGGGCACGACCTGGATGACGCGGCTCCCCTCGAGGAACGCCGCCGCCCGCGCCCGGGCGTCGTCCATGTTACGTTTCGTTGGGGTTCCGGTCTTCGGGCAGCCCTTGAGTGCCTGCCCGGCGGCGCGATCGGAGCACCAGCGTCGTATGGAAGCTGGGAATTGTATCCTTTCTTGAAGGCAACTTGCATGCAATAACATCCCTCTCAGAGGCTGGCGATTCATCAGCCTCAGCGTGCGGCATAGGTAAAACCTGCGCAAGTATGGCCTTTGATGATGAGGCGACAGCCGCGGGGGACGCGCCCGACGCAAAGCAGGAGGCCGACGCGCAGCAGGACGCACCGCAGGACGCGCCCAACGCGCAGCAGGACGCACCGCAGGACGCGCCCGACGCGCAGCAGCAGACCGCGCCGGCAGAGGCGCCGCAAACAAGCGCAGGCAAGCGCAAGACACCGGTAGACGACGACGAGGCCCCCGAGGTCATCGCGCGGTGCCTCGGCGCCGGCGGCGAGTTCGACCTCGGCGACGGCCGCGCGCGCAAGCGCAAGCGCTTCTCCGCCGTGGACCTCCAGAGCCGGCGCGCCGAGGCGGACGACGGCGTCGAGCGCGTGCTCTGCGGCTACGAGCTCGCGAGCGGCGTGCTCCTCTGCTCCTCGGGCTCCGTCGTCGGCTTCCGCGGCGGCGCGGTGGTCAACGCGGCGAACGAGGGCTGCCAGGGCGGCGGCGGCGTCGACGGCGCGATCACGGCGGCCGGCGGCGACGCGCTCGCGGACGCGCGCGCGGCGCTGCCGGCGATCGACGCGGACGGCTTCCGGCGCTGCGCGACGGGCGACGCGGTCGTCACCGCCGGCGGCGACCTCGCCGCGGACCACTGCATCCACGCCGTCGGCCCGAACTACGGCTGGCTCGAGCGCGGGGACGGCGAGGACGAGGAAGCCGCGCTCGCGCGCGGCGACGCGCTCCTCGCCGGCGCGTACGCGGCGTCGATGGCGCGCGCGGCCGAGGTCGGCGCGACGACCGTCGCCTTCTCGCTGCTGAGCGCGGGCATCTTCCGCGGCGCGCGGTCCCTCGCCGCGGTCCTCGCGATCGCCGTCGCCGCCGTCGCGCGCGGCGCCTACCCGGGCCTCGAGCGCGTCCACCTCGTCGCCTTCACGCCCCGCGAGCAGAAGACGCTCGCGCAGGCGGCCCAGCGCCACTTCCTGTCCTAGAGCGCAAGATCAAGCTTAGTTCTGCATCTCCGCCTTGACGAGGTTCGCCAGCCAGCGCGCGTCGTCGTCGTCGTTCGTCGCCGGGAGGGGCGGCGCCGTCGCCGCCGGCGCCGGCGCGGCCTCGGCCCGCTTCGCGACCCAGGCCTTGAGGATGAGGGGCTCCGACGGCGCGGCCGCGCCGTCGTCGCCGCGGAGCGCGGCGCCCGGCATCCACGACCCCCGGAACCAGACGAGGCCGTCGTTGGACGCCGGGAGGTCCAGGGAGAAGAGCCAGCGCGCCGCGTCGATGACCAGCACGTCGTCCTCCTTGAGGTCGAAGGGGAACTTCGCGGCGTCGCCCGCCGCTTCGAGCTCCGCGAGCGCGTCGATGGCGTCGCCCGCGGCGTCGTCGCACCACTCCACGTTCGCCTTCAGCGCCGCGGAGAATCGCAGGGTCTTGCGGAAGTCGTCGTCCTGGTCGAGGCACGGCGCCGCGCCCGCCGGCGCCGCGGAGCCGGACGCGCGCCAGGCCGCGTCGCAGGGGTCGCACGCGTAGGTCATGGGCCGCCGCAGCGTGCCCTTGGCCTCGAGGCTCGCGCCGCGTAGCAGCGCGTCGCAGGTCGCCAGCGACAAGGCCCGCGCGCTCTTGGCCGGGCGGCCGCCTGGGCAGCAAAAGGGTGCGAAATTCCCAACTTCAAAGGCTCCTATCTCGGTCGTTTTCCGCTCGTTTCGGCTGATTTTTGGACGAGCGATCATCTCTCGGAGCGCTCTCGAAGCATAGGTGCTGTTTCCGAAACGCGCGCGCGCGGAACACTCACGTTGAAGCGACGTTGAATCACCCTTTTGCTGCCCGGGCGGCCGCAGGCGACGACGACGTAGTCGATCGCCGCGTCGGGAATCGGCGCGTCGTTGCCGAGGGCCGCCGACCGCGCGACGCGCTTCGGCAGGGCGTCCCCGCCGGCGACCTGGGGGAGGCCCCGGCCCAGGGCCTCGCAGAACGCGAGGGTCCGCCAGGCCGCGCCCGCGTCGCCGCCGAGCGGCGCGCGGCGGAGCACGCAGCACCCGCCCGCGGCGCACTCGCGGCGCGCGACGGCCGCGAGCGGTTCGCTCGCCGCCGCGAGCTTCGCGCCGTCGGCGACGGTACTCAGCGCGTCGCGGTACTCGGGCGTGCACTCGAAGATGGCCACCGTGCCCTTCCTGCCGCAGCGGACGGCGCCGCGCTCGACGATCAGGTCCGACTCGCGCTGGTCCCGCGTCCACTCGACGGCCGTCTGCTCGTTGAGCTCGCGCGTCTCGGCGACGCGCCGCGTGTCGGACTCATTGAACTGGCGCGGGTCCTTGCCGAACTCACGATCGAACTCCGCCATGTTGCGATCGGCGAGCGAGATAGGCCGACGTTGTCCCCGCGTTGCCGTCGTCAGCGCTGCGCGCATGGCAGGCAGCAACGCGACGCTGCCCCATCGACGATGACGGCGGCCTGACCGTCGGAGCCGCAGCTCGATCGAGGAGCTCTCAATTTGATTGGCGTCCGTCGTTGGGCACCGCACACACGACGAGCCTGCAGTCGCAACAGCACTGATCATGGTCAAGAAGCACTACGCCGTCGACGACGCCGTCCAGGAGCGGCCGTCGCTCAAGGGCAAGTTCGTGACGCTGCGGAGCTTGAAGTGGCGGCACCTCAGCGGGCGCGGCCTCACGGACCTCGAGGGCAGCGCGCGCCTCATCGACATCTTGTACCACAAGGTCGGCGGCCACAAGGGCTGGATCAACGCCGACGACTTCTTCGCGGCGATGAAGAACATCAACAGCGTCGACGCGCCCAAGGACGCCTGGGACCACCTGGGCCTCGAGGGCTACGACGCCGCGCACGACGCGGGCAAAAAGAAGCGGCGGAAGAGGGGCCGAAAGATCAAGAAGGCCGAGTTCGTCGCGCTCGCGGAGAAGTACCGGCTCTACATGAACGCGCGCGACAGGCACATCCAGGACGCGCGGCACGCGGTGCTCACGCTGAAGCCGTACACCACGGAGGTCCGCGCTGGCGAGGGCTACTTCACGAACGCGCCCCTGCTCGCGAAGTGGCTCCAGAAGACGCAGCGCCGGCCGACGGCGACGGACGACGACGGCGAAAAGGTGTTGCGCATGCTGGGCTACGACCCGGACCGGGAGGAGTGCTGCCCGCTCGAGCGCGCGGACGAGCTCGAGTCGTGCGCGCGGCTGCTGCCCGAGGCGACCAATTTCCAGGTCGCGGCGCACGGCGCCTCCGTCGTCTGCAGCGTCATGTAAGCGAATTCTAAAATAGCGGCGGCGCACGGCGCCTCCGTCGTCTGCAGCGTCATGTAAGCGAATTTTTAAATAGCGGGGGCGCACGGCGCCTCCGTCGTCTGCAGCGTCATGTAAGCGAATTTTCAAATAGCGGCGGCGCACGGCGCCTCCGTCGTCTGCAGCGTCCTGTAAGCGAATTATGAGCGGGCGCTCCTCGCGCCGTCGCACGCGGCGGGCGCGAGGAGCCCGCGCGCGCACGAGTCCGCGCGGATCGCGTCGGCGTCCCGGCGCGCGTCGTCGCAGTGGGACCGGTCGCCGGTCCGCACGAGGGGTGCCCAGGGCTGGACGACGTTGCCCCGGGCCGCGAAGGCCGCGCGCGCGCCGTCGAGCTCGGCGCGCGTCGGCGCGCAGTAGCGCGGCGCCTCCGCGGCCACGTGGAGCTCGACGAGGCGCTTCTCCAGCGCCGCGGCGATGTCCGGTTCGGCGTCGTACACGTCCTCGCTCTCGCCCGGGTCGGCCTCGACGTCGTAGAGGAAGCTCCGCGGCTCGTCGTCCAAGTACCGGACCCCGGCCTCCGAAGACCCGTCGTAGACGGGCTCGCGGCGCACGTTGACGAGCAGCTTCCACTTCCCCCGCCGGATCGCGCCCGTGGCGCCGCCGCCCGTCGGCGCGTCGTCGACGCCCAGGAGGACCTCGTCGCGCGGCGGCGGCGCGAGGCCGCGGAGCGCGTCCCACTGGTCGACGCCGTCCATGGCGTCGAAGCCCGCGACGAGGTCCGGCCGCAGGCCCGCGGCGTTCAAGAGGGTCGGCGCCCAGTCGGCGACGTGGACGAGGCCCTCGTGGCTGCTGCCGCGCACGTTCTGGGGCAAGAGAGAACCGGCGAGTAACGCGCGCGTCCGCACGCCGCCCTCGAAGTAGCCGCCCTTGGCGCCCCGCAGGGGCGCGTTCGAGCCGCCCGCCGCCGACGCGCCGTTGTCGCTGAGGAGCACGAGGAGCGTGTTCGGCCAGAGCGCGTGCTTCTGCAAAGCGGCCTGGAGGTCGCCGATCGCGCCGTCGGTCGCCGCGACGACGGCCGCGTAGTCGCGGCGCCGGCCCGCGACGTCGAGCTTCGGTAATAAGTCGTAGGTCTCGACGTCGTCGGGCGGCGTGATGGGCTCGTGGGGCGTCGGCAGGGCGTAGTAGAGGAAGAGCGGCTCCTCCTTGCCCTCGTGGGACGCGACGAGCCGTCGCGCGGCGTCGCGGCACGCGTAGGCGGCGTAGACGCCCGTGGCCCGCGGCCGCGGCAGGCCGTTGACCTGCCAGTCCAAGGCGCAGGTCCCGTCCGTCGCCGGCGTCTCCGAAGCGCACGCGGGCGGCGCCTCGGCGACGTGCGTGAAGTGGTCCACGAAGCCGCCCAAGAAGCCGTAGGACTCGCCGAAGCCGCGCCGCGCGGGCGTCAGCGACTCGTTGTAGTGGCCCAGGTGCCACTTGCCGACGAGCGCCGTGCGGTAGCCCGCGGTCTGGAGCGTCTCCGGGAGGAGGCGGATCGCCGGGTCGAGGCCCCACTTGGACGCCGCGGACACGACGCCCCGCTGGAGGCCGAGGCGCACGGGATAGCGGCCGCTCAAGAGGCTCCCGCGGCTCGGCGTGCACTCGTGCGCCGCGTAGTGGCTCCGCAGCGACAGGCCGGACTCGGCGAGCGCCGCGACGTGCGGCGCGGCCAAGTCGGACGTCTCGAGCCAGTCGTCCCAGCCGGCGTCGTCGAGCACGGCCAGGACGATGTGGGGCGCGGCGGACGTGATGTTCCGGTGGTGGTGGTCCGCCGTGATGGGCGCCTGGAGCGCCGACGCGAGGCTCGCGCGGTGGAGCGCCGACTCGGGCGCGAGCTCGAGGACGACCAAGATGACCAAGCCGGCGACGGCGGCGAAGAGCGGCGCCGCGAGCACGGCCTGGCGCGAGAAGCGCGGCCGCTGCAGCGGCGTCCGCTCGTGGTCCAGACCGCCGTAGCCGGCGGGCTGCATCGCGTCGTAGCCCGGGCTGCCAATCTATGATGGGCAAGAATTCGAGGGAAATAGGTCAAGGTGAACTATTCACAAAGCTGAACCAATTTGTTTGCATTCGCGGCAAACTCGGCGCTGCTCGTCGTCGTCTCGACGCGAGCCTGGCCGAAGCCATTGCCGGGGAGCGGCTGCCGTTCAGGGTGCATTGAACTGACGAACAACTCGTTCCACCGCTGAAGCACGCGGACAGGAACCCTCGCCAGCGACCATGCCCGCGCAGGAGCGCATCTCCCTGCGGCGCACGCACTCGAAGACGGAGGACGGGCCGCGGAGCACGCCGCGCGGGCACCGGCGGCACGCCTCGGACCCGTTCAGCCTCTCGCGGTCCTTCGGCATGCCCCTGAGCGACCAGGACATGAGCGAGTTCCTCGAGGCCGAGGACCTCTTCATGTCCGGTGGCTCGCTGCCGTCGTTCGACGTCGACGTCGCGCTCCCCAGCCCGCGGACGCCCGGCCGGAAGCACCGGCGGACGGCGTCGGAGCCCCTCATGGGCTCGGTCCACGACTTCGCCCTGGACCTCGACGCCGCGCCGGGCCACCCGCTCCTCCTCGACGACGGCGCGCCGCACCCGCTGCTGATGGGCGAGGGCGGGATGCTCGACGACGGCATGCTCGACTCCTTCGCGCTCGACCTGGGCGACGACATGGACGTGGGCGCCGAGGCGCCGCCGCCGCCGCCGTCGGAGCCGCCGCCGGCGGTCCGCGGGCCGCCGCGGCGATCCGGCGGCCGCGCGAAGCCGACGGCGAAGCCTCCGGCGAAGCCGCCCAAGGGCGGCGGCGGCAAGCCGGCCAAGGGCGACGACGACAAGAAGACGCGCAAGTACAAGTGCAGCCGCTGCGGCCAGATCAAGGCGAACCACGTCTGCCCCTACGTGCTCCAGGAGAGCGTCGCCGTCGCGTCCTGTGTGGAAATCAAATCTTCAACCGACTTCAATGTGCGCGTATGCGACCGTTTCGACGCGAGGTTTTCTGCTGTGCTTCGAGAACTCGACGAGAGCAATCGATTCGTCCAAAAATCAGCCAAATCGACTTCGATTTGACCGAGCTAGAGAATTCTGAAGTTTGGCCCCGACGTCCCAGCTCACTGGTTGATTTCCACACAGGTCGCGTCCCAGGCGGACCCCACGGTGACCGTGTCGACCATGGGCGAGCGCACGCTCACGGCCAAGGCGCGCGTCATCACCGCCGCCTAGGGGACTGCTAACGACCTTGTACGAGCGCCGCGCGCGGGCGACCGTGAACGACCTGGTACGAGCATCGCTCACGGCCGAGGCGCGCGTCATCACCGCCGCCTCGGGGGCTGTTAACGACCTCGTACGAGCGCGCGCGCGGGTCCGCTAGAGCTTCGCGTAGGCGCGGTCCGCGCCGCAGTGGAAGCGCACGGAGCAGCAGCGCACGGCGCAGGAGCAGAGCGTCGGGTCGCCGTCGCCGGCGCGCGGCGACGCCGACGGCGGCTTGTAGGACCGCAGCGACAGCGACGACGCGACGACGGACACGGACGAGAGCACCATGGCGAGCGCCGCGACCTCGGGCGGGAGCCGCACCTCGAGGAACGGGTAGAGCGCCCCCGCGGCGATGG